TCTCTCTCTCTCTCTCTCTCTCTCTCTCTCTCTCTCTCTCTCTCTCTCTCTCTCTCTCTCTCTCTCTCTCTCTCTCTCTGTGTCTCTGTGTCTCTAACGCGCGCGCACGTACGCACACGCAGACACACCCGCGCACACGAAACTCGTATCGAAGCATGATCATGACGATAACGAAGGGCCCTCGTTCCTCCACCGTGGTTGAGAGTCGTTGAGCGCTCATTGCGAGGGCGCACACGCACACACCATCAAAACCCATTCGGCAATAGCGCAGGCTTCGTCCCACCGCCATGGACACCCATACAATCAGTTTTCAGGACCAACTCCAAGTAAGCCCCCCACCGTCTGCTCCTCGACCCATATAACCTCCTCAAGGCTGCGCCAGACTTCTGTTCCACTGCGAGCGCGCAGCGCAACCTGGTCCATTCACGAGATCCAGGTCCGCAGCAGTCCCAACAGGAAGGCAATCACAAAAAAAAAAAAAAAAAAAGGAAGGCAATCACAAAAAAATCCAGACCGACAACGTTTCGCCATTGGGGACTTCCCGACAAAAAAGAAAAAAGAGGAAAAAAAAATACCACAAAAAAAGAAACACACCAGCCATTACTACGAACCACCACCAATAAAATAACACCCAGACACACATAAGAAAAACAATCGCTAATTGCTACCCCCCTCCACCCCCCCCTTTAAAAAGAAAAAAAGAAGAAGAGGAGAAAAAGAAAAAAACACTAGCTAATAAAAATATACTCAGTCGTATTAATCCCCAGAGATAAGATCCTATTGGGCAAATGACGGAGACCTTTTCGTCTTAAAAAAAAAATAAAAAAAATAAGAAATAATCTTTTTGGGCCGTCGTCCTTCAGAATCCCTCAGGATTGGAACTAGACGAAAACGAGATCGATCGACGAAAATGGCGGTTTAATAGGATACGGGCCTCGCTCCACTACCACTACTCATCACCACATGCACAAAAGACCCCCCCCAAAAAAAACGTCGTCTCTTTCCACGTTTTTTTTTTCTGGCGGCAGATTGACTGATTGATTGATTCGCATTTCGTACATCTGGTGAGTAGTGGAGCGGGGGGGGGGGCCTATGATTGGTTGGTTCAACAAAAATTTGAATCAATCCTTGCTTGCGATTGTCAATTCATGCGCGTTATACGAGTTTGATTTTTTGTAATTACGAAATAAATATGTAAATGATACTAAAATCATGCGCGTTATTCATCCCTTATCCCTGCATGCGCTGCAGGCGCAGACGTAATGCTAATCACTAATTAACCTTT